GGCCCCTGTTTTTCCTCTTCCCCCTCCTTTTGCCTCGCTCTGTTTTTGCCATGTGCCTTGAGGATCTAGAATGCCTTGCTCCCTCTCCCAGGTAAGTCTGCTCAAACCAAGTCAACCTGCCTCCAGGGAGCTGCTGGCCAGTTCCACCTCACATGCTTGCTACTCCTCTAAGGTCTTCTGACAGACGCCTGCTGCCACTGCTCCTGGGCTGCTGCTCAACACTTTCACCCTTTGATTTATTACTATACATGTACCAGGGTAGCTGGGGCTTAGTGACAGACTTGTCAGTACCAGGAAATTGCTCATACATATGGTAAAAGTTCTGGGACTCTCCCTATTCAATACTAATACTGGAAACACCTTTCAAAATTGTACACACGCCTCCTTGAAAATTCTAGTATGTCTGGCGGTGGGAATTCTAGATGGGTGGCTAAGGTCTGTCTAAGACCTTCTGTAGACAAAAGAGAACTGGATTCAGAGGTGCTTGGATTTGAGTTCTAGTTTGGCCATTCGTTAATTGTGGGATTTCATTTCTCTGTGCCTTCACTGATTAAATTAGCAGGATTAATTTTTAAAAAAATATTTTATTTATTATTTTAATTTTATGTGTATAAGTGTTATGCCTGCATGAAGGTGAATGCACCTGTGTTGTGCAATGCCTGTGGAGGACAGAAGAGGCTGTTGGATCCCCTGGAACTGGAGTTACTGGCAGTTGTTAGGTGCTGTGTGGGTGCTGGGATTCGAACCTGGGTCTTCTGTAAGAACAGTCAATGTTCTTAACCACTGAGCCATCTCACCAGCCCTGAGGATTAATTTTTAAATATAAATAAGAACTGGAAAAATGGCTCAGCAGATAAAGGCGCTTGCCACCAAGTCCAACAACCTGAGTTCCATCCCTGGAACCCACATGATGGAAGAAGAGAACTGATTCCTACAAGTTGTCCTCTGACCTCCACACACACACCATGACATATGCATGTATGCATGTACACACATACACACACACACACACAAACAACAGATAAATGTAAAAACTAAATAAATGGAAGGATGTCATTCTCCTAGGATTATTGGGAACACATAAAACCTATTAAATATGCAAAAGTCAAGGGAATATTTCAAAGAGTCTCTGTGTGTGATCAGAATTGGTCTACCTGAAAGACCCTGAGGACACCAGCCTGGTAAGGATATTTTTAATCTTGCCCCTTCAGAAAGAATTGTAGGATTGTACATTGTAGTATTGGGAAACTGGGGCAGAAGGATTGCAAGTTTGAGCCTAGCCTGGGCTACATGAGTTGAGGTCAACATAAACTGCATAGGTTGACTTTGCTTTTTTTTTAAAAAAAAAAAAATTGGTTGGTTAACATTTTAGCTGGGTGTGGTGGTGCATGCCTTTAGTCCCAGCACTCAGGAGGCAGAGGCAGGTGGATCTCTGTGAGTTCAAGGCCAGCCTGGTCTATATAGTGAGTTCAGGTCAGCTAGGACTACAGGGAGACCCTGTCTCAAAAAGACACACACACACAAAAAAAAGGAGAGATGGCTCAGTAGTTAAGAACACTGGCTGTTCTTGCAGAAAACCCAGGTTCGAATCCCAGTACCCACATGGGTATTCTAGTCCAAGGGGATCCAATGCCCTTTTCTGTCCTCCATGGGCATTGCGCAACATGGGTGCACTTACACACCTGCAGGCAATAGATGCATACACATAAAATACAAATAATAAATAAAAATATTTTTAAAATAGGAAGAATAAGGATGGATTCATGAGGGAGAACACCAGAAGAATCAACTGGAGTTACGGACAGTTGTTAGCCGCCATGATGGTTCTCCTCTCTCCCTCACAGGTCTCCTCTTGCCCAAGGGTTTCCTGGGAAAATGTTTCTGTCTCCAGTACACCAGACCCTGTCAGTTTTAAAGTGGTTTTAATATGAAATTGGGGGAAGTATCACAAAGATGAAAAAGAGCAGAGAAGGGAGTCTGTAGAGGTCAGGAACTTACTCTCCAAGGATCAGGCCAGCTCAGCCATGCTCCTGGCTGCTGGACCTGCACTGATGGGAGGAGCTAGAAGAGATGTTCTCCAGCCTCAGGCCACCTGTCCCAGGCTGTGTTCAGACCTTGGGCACCATCTAGTGGAACCGTAGAGGGATCCTAGCGACATGTCCACCCATCCCAATGGTGACCTCTGGACATGTTTTCTCCATAGCTATTCTATGCCATGTCCTCATTCATTACCCTGATGCAGAGCCAGTTCCACATAGGTCATCTCTGCTAAAGCCACACTCGGGGGAGATTCCCCTCCACCACTTCCTATCTGCCTTAAATTTTCTGCTCCAGCAATTCAGAAATATTTGGTTTCCAGTAACCAAACATAAGTGTGGCTTGGAAGGCTTTGCCACAGTAACTGGGGCCTTTTATCAGATGGGGAGCGGGGGAGGGGGTCACTGGTGCGAGATGGCTCAGCACGAAAAGGCATTTTGCTGCCAAGTCTGATGATCTGAGTTCCTTCCCTGGAACTCACATAGTGGAAGAAGAGAACGGATTCTCCCACAAGTTATTCTCTGACCTCCATATATGCGTGCGCGGGGACACACACACACACACACACACACACACACACACACTGGCCTGGAACTCCCCATGTAGGTAGACCAGGTTGTCCCCCAACTCACAGAGCTACGCCTGCCTCTGCCTCCTTTCTGAGTGCTGGGATTACAGGGGTGCACCACCACACCTGGCTTTAAAAAAAGTTTAAGGAGAAATACTTAGGCTTTGGGGCTAAGAAGGCAGCAACAAATCCAACCAGCGGAGGAAGAGGAGAGGGAGACGAGGTGGGTGGTAGGGAAGGCGTTGGGGAGTCTCTACTATCCTCCCCGCCCCCTCAACCCCGCAGCCCTGTTTCCTCTACCTGAGACTGGTTCTTGTCCCAGGGTTGCCTACCCATCCCGTGCATCACCCCTGCAGCTCCCTCCCGCACGCGGAGGCTCTGGAGCAGCTGGAGGGCAGGAGGTAGCTGGGTCCCCCCTGGATGCCCCCTAGGTCCCCCGCTGCCCACTGCAGGAGACGCTGCCGTGACCTCAGGGAGGGTGTCTCAGCCTGTGCGTGGCTCCGCCCCGGTCCGCCTTCGCCGGGTTCCCTGCCTCCAGTCAGCCACACACACCCAGAGTGCCAGCGAGCCCATGGAACTGGAGCGCAAGGAGCCCCCGGAGGACCGCAGTGCCCAGGCGCTGCTGGGCGAGCTGGAGCGGCAGGTGCAGGACGTGGTGAGGGCGAGCTCGTGGTGGGAGCGCCACGGCGTGGACTGCGCCATCCTCGCGCTCAGTCTCCTTGCCTTGCCCGCTGGTGAGGGACGCTGGGACAAGACGACAGAAGCACAGGCTGCGGGTGGGGGTGGAGTGCTGTGGAAGATGGTGGTGCAGGCTGAAGGGGACACTACCCGACGGATGTCCCCAGGACTCCAGGACCCTGGATCACAACTTAGCTTCCAAAGTCTAGTTTGGGGTGTCCCTTCCATGTCCCACTGGAGGTGGGGGAAAATCTAGTGACTTGAAAGTGGTAGAGAGAAAAGTTGAAAGGAGTTGAGGATGGATAAGGAGGGAGGAGGTGGCCTGCAGAGGGGGGCATGTTCTATAGGGGACACCAGAGACGGGGAGAGGTGAGTCTACTTCCTCTCTTGGTCTGGTACCTCCGTGACACCCAGCCCCCATCTGAGCTCTGACTGAGGCTCAGGAGGGACCTGGCAGAATCAGGACAGCAGTATCGCCTTGACAAGCCCACAGGGCTCTGTTTTGTCCCAAATCCTGTAGAGGGATTCAGTTCACCATGCTCAGGTCATTGAGGAGCGTGCTTCCTACAGCCTCAGGGCTAGGCCCAAATTTTAGGGTGGGTATGTAATAGGGGGGCCCAGGCCAAAAGGTGGAGAAAGACCCTGATCCCTGGCTCTTCCTCCCTTCAGGGTTCCTGTGTCTGCGCTTCCATAATGTCCTGGCTTTTGCCACTGGCATCACCATCTTGGGCTTGTGCCATTACACACTCACTGTCAAGGGCAGCCACCTGGCCACTCATGGTGCCCTCACGGAATCCAAACATTGGAGCAAGATCTTGTTGCTCTTCTTTGTGGAGGTGAGCCTGGCAGAGGTGGGACAGTTGCTGGGCAGCTGTACGTGTGTGAGTGTGTGTGTGTGAGTGTGTGTGTGTGTGTGTGTGTGTGTGTGTGTGTGTGGTGTGTAGACATGAACAGGCAGCCGCTGCAGTGGGTATGTGGATCCAAGTGTGCAGTGTGCACTGCAGTTCATGTGTGCCTGTGCAGTCCAAGCCCTGAGTTTGCATTAGTGAGCAGAACTGCATTTGTATAGCCCAGTGCCTGCCCACGAAAATGAACTTAGCCCATTTTATGATACACCCCAGTGGTTGAGTGGCAGAACTTACCTTACCTCCTATCCCCTGTTCCCCTTCTTTCTCCTAGGGACACTCATCTCTCTGCAGCACTAGGCCAAAGGGCAAAGATTCTTTCTCCTACCTACCAGGTCATCTGCAACTGGCAGGTCGTGACCTGTGACTGTGTTGACTCACACCTTCAATCACAGGGGCCTTCAGGTTCTTCCATCAGAGTTTATTTGACAGACAGGGAGGGGGAAGGGGGCCCATGTGACAGCGCTGATGGTGTCCTTTGGACATGGTGATCACTGAGCCAAACCGAGAAGCCCCCGTGCCCCTTATATCCCCATTCCTCCAGGAGGGATTTTCTGTCTCTGACCTTTGCCCTCCTGTCTTTCTCCTGTCCCTGCTCTGCCTTCTCACCTGTGACCAGCCGGGGAAGGTTGGCTTTTCTTCCTGACTGTTCTTCAGGCCTCTGTAGATTTGTTTTCTGTTCCGCTCCAGGGAGAGCCTCACCTAGCCACTCAGGTTCCTTAGAACAGATGGAAAAATTGGTAACAGGAACAGTCCTTTTCTGTCAGTTGGTTACTGGGACCAATTAACTCAACGATTAGCTTTTTATAAAATGCTGTAACTTTATAAAAACTTGTGTTACTGGGCTGGAGAGATGACTCAGCAGTTAAGAGCGCTGACTGATCTTGCAGAGGACCTGGGTTTGAACTCCAGCATCTACATGGTGGTTAACTGTCTCTAACTCCAGTTCCAGGGGATCTGACACCCTCTTCTGACCTCCTTGAGCATTGCATGACATGGGTGCACTTACATACTTGCAGGCAATACATGCATACACATAAAATAAAAATAAAATATTTTTTAAAAAAGCTTATGTAACCACACACACACACACACACACACACACACACACACACACAGAGCTGATATATCACATTGCTTGAGTGATGAAAACCTTTCTCAACTAATATTCCATGTCCCTTCTTTTCCCTTCTTCATCCCTATTCCCCAGCTCAGGTTTCTGAAGGGCTAAAGACAAAGGAATCCACAGGCTCCTGCTTCCCAGGGTCAATTTTTAGATACTTCCCTTTCCAGGGACTTCTGGGTCTCAGCTGGGTTCAGAGGTTGGACCCTGGGGTCAGAGTCAGATTCCTATGAGTTAATAAACTGTCAGGAGAGGCAGGGGTGAGGTCTGTACTGTTTGTAGGGACAGTATGCCAATGCTGGGACCCACAGGGCAGGATTAGCTCTGCTTGGATTTTCCAAAATGATGCTGAGTGCCAAGAGCCTCAGCCAGTTATCCAGTGACCGACTGCAGGGTATTTACTGTACAGAGGTGTCTGAAGCATTTTTATCAGGCTTCTAGATAACCTAATGCCCACTTAAGTGTGAGAAGCTCTGATCCTGACTGCCTAGGGGACAGAGGAGCCATCATGTGCTGAGTGGAGTCAGGAGCTAAGATACTGTCTTCAAGACATCTTCCCAGCTTCCCCTGCTTAGGAGCTCCTTTAGAACCCCAGCATGCAGTGACCCGTGGGATGCAAGCAGCCTCAGGGCTGGGTTCTCTAAGTCTTCTTGTCCTGGATTCTAGATTAGTGGCCCCATCTTCGCTTCTTTGTTTGGCCCAAGCTCTTAGCTCTTCCATCAGTATTTGTTGACCTTGACCTTGCATTTCACTAGGGGATAAGGTCCAGGGAAAAGGCTGGTGTGTGTGTGTGTGTGTGTGTGTGTGTGTGTGTGTGTGTGACACATCCTAGAGGCCTGTGCCACTGTTGGCTGTGCCGCAGTGTTCTGTGGTGAGCTGTGGGTGGAGCAGAAGTAGTTTGTCACTCAGGCCCTCTAAGCAGCCTGGGCTGGTAACAGCTCCATTTTTCAACCTTAAGGTATGACTCTGGCTCCTCTCTGAGCAGGGCCCAGTTCCCACATATGAAGGGTGTGGGGTGTGTGGATCAGTACCATGTATCTCATATGTATTAAGCAACTGCAGTTCTTGGGCATAGTCTTGGTTAGTATCCCAGTCCTACCAGTGGCTTAGACCTTGAGCAAGACGGTTAATTTTAGATCTGGGGTTAATTTCCTAGTGGAATCCACATATGTGATAATATTGCCTCCTCAAGAAACCACTGACAGCATTGGATGAGACAGTGTAGACCTTCTGTTGGTTCCAATCCTTCCAGGTTCCAGAATGTTACTTTGCCTTTTCTCCATAGAAGGGACATGTAGTCAGTTATGGGGGCAGTGAGAGCTGTTGGTGACTGTGTTTATTTTGTTATTGTTTCGTGTCTGTTAATAGAGAGGCGGCAGAGCTTGGCAGAGTGTGTGGATGTTGGTATTAGGTTACCTGGCACAGAAGACAAGTTCTCATGGCCTGGGACCCCTCTTTGATCCCTGGCTCTCACTTCTCTTATGTCCCACTGACTTTTCCCTTTCCTCCTTCTCTCTATGGGCCTGTGCTCTTCCCCCTGACCTCCAGGGAACATCACTGTAGAACATCGGGTCCTAGGCTTTGGGTTCCTTTGGGGTTCTGAAGACTCTGTAGCTCTATGTGTCAGCTGGGCACCTCTGGGTTTCTTTGGGAACTCAGCATTTGCTAGGCTTGTCTCAAGGCCTTCTGGGTCTGAACTGGTTTAGGACCAGGACCACTCTGATCCAGTGGATCTGGAGAGAGGGAGCAGACAGGATGGAATGGGGGTTACCACTCCAGGTTGTATCCAAAATATACCCTCACACCAGGTGACTTTCCTCTGAAGACCTATTTCTGGCCTACATGAAGAAGTTTCAGCTTTACCCAGCAAGCACTTCCTGTCCTGTGTCCCTGTACATTACTGGAGCTGCTGGGCATATCCTTGGGGATGACCAGGGAAGGATGCCAAGCTAGCATGATCACCAGAAGGTTGGAGGAAAGGTGGACTGAGCAAGCCCCATGCTTGAAGTCCTGAACTTGAGAAGGATTAACTCTTGAAAGGCCTTTAGTGTCACAGTCCAGGACGCTCCCCTGAGTGGGTGGAAACAGGCCATGCTAGTTACAAAGCTCTTTACTGTGTGTCATCTTCTCCTCCTTGTAAATCAGCTTTGTGAGTCACAGTTGGTCCACTAGGAATTCTGCACAGTCAGCTGTGCTCTGCAGGCAGGGGTATTACACAGGGGAATGGCTGTCAGCATCTGCAGGTCCCTTGCGGTGTAAACAGTAGAGAACCCTAAGCCTAGTCATGATCTTCACATGTTCTTTATTGGTTCAGTGCAGTCCTTGTCAAGGACAGTCCCCTCTTTGACCCTGCTTGTTCCTCTTTAGGGCTCTAGTTTGGATATGATCAACTATGATATCTATATTTTCTTTTTTGGTGCTGGGGATTGAACAAAGGGCCTTGTGTATTATAAATACCTGCTTTATCACTGAGCCATTCCCTAGCCCTTAACTATAGTTTCTCTCTTTAAAAATGTATTTTATTATTTGGGGAGGGGGGCTGGAGAGATGGCTCAGCCATTAAGGGCACTGGCTGCTCTTGCAGAGGACCCGGGTTCAGTTCCCACCATCCACATAGTG